CACTTATACCAGAAGCAGTCAGTTTGCCAGCATTGCTCCTAGCCTCGCTACTGGACAGCCCAGTATAGAATGGGACAGAAGTTCGAAGAAGTCATTAAGGCATGTATACGATAATCTATTTCGTTGCCAGGCGAGTGTTTTGTGATGACTACCAAATCAGATGATATGAATGCCTCCCCTATTGACTTGGTGTGAGAGTAAATGTGGTCTATATGAAGTGAAACATTGTTTAGAAAATTTTTTATTGAGCTATTGCTACATAACTTTTCAATTTAAAGGAAAAATTGACTAGAATGAATTCATTAATTGGTCTCATCAAAAACCTCAAATAAAGAATGTTGGATTCTGCGAAAAAGCCCTACGAGTCCTATGAGCTTTCGTCTGTCATGTGACAGGCATAATCAGATTTGGTGCATTTTCTTCTATATTATGGATCGTTGTTCGGACATTGTCACATGGCAACAGGACAACTCAGCATGGGTGCATCGGAGTCGAAGGATGGTGAGCCGAGGACTCTTTTGCACGATCCAGCAGAAGATCATCCGTCTTCGGTCTCCGGTGAGACCAATTAGCAAAATCCTTGCAACTAACTGTTCCTTTGAAAGGAAAATCATGTTACATTGAATGATTTCTGATCTTATGCCGATTCGACCCGTTCAATTGGTCGGTAACCCTAGCAAGTACTACACCGACTGTAGCAAAATTGAACCCATTCTTTATGTTGATCGGGACCGGATGCAACAGTGAATTGGTCATATTCAGCCCATGCCAGTTTCTTAAAAGCCCTATGCTTACTGAGAAATTTTGTAGTTATCCGATGATCTTGAATAAGCATCTCAATCATCCGGGGTCGCATAAACGTTTCCACGGTGAAATGAGGAGAAGACCACACGTCTCGAGTGAATTTCGCATGGCCTTTCTTCCCAAAGGTTTTTTCATCACGACCTGACCAGCATGGCTTAAATTGAAATTCGGGTTCCTTCAACACAGGGTCTTCATATACCGGATATTCCTTATGCTCCATCATTGATGCTAACTTGTATGAGCAAGAGATTCGCAAATCGCCCCATCCTCTTCTTATAACTGCGAATATGTGGGTCTAGTCCATTCGTGTTGAGCTTTCACTGGTTTCCCTGTGACTGACATCGTCAGACAGTGAAACCAACCTTGGACAAACATCCTACCTTCCTTTTCTAGTCGCATTTTGTCCACTCAATGAGGCATCCCATGATTTATATTTCCCATGCATGTTTGCAAATAAGTGAAGTGGGTGCAGTCGTGACCGAGCAGTCACTTGCACTTTTTATTCTGCTGCGCTCATGATTCATGTGAACTGTGAAAGCCTGGCCAGATTTGCGGCTAATCATAATAATTACATCAATTTGCCTCAAGTAGTTCCCACACGATTTTTATAAACTCGTTCCTTCTATCCAGAATGTAGGCTGTCTTGTTTAGTCCTATGACAGGTAGGAAAACAATTATTTAGTAAGATCATCTTCGTAACCCACTACCTCAGCGTTATCACTTCAGCTGCTCTCCCCACTTCTCCTGGACAGACCTACCTTGCCTGCACGTTCGCTTTTGTAATTATGGTTAATCACTCTTTTGGGTAAGTTATTTGCGAAAAAAAGTTAGGTTTCGAGGCCTTTTTTGTTTCGCAATTGTTGAACTTACTTCTTTTTCGGGCAAAAATATTTGCTGGAGAGATTCGAGTGTCGATCTGACCAAATTGGTTTTACCGTTAATTTCTGGTTGGTGCTGTTCCTGAGGAAATCTCCTTTGATTTCAGTAAAAACGAAATTAAAGTAAGCTCAATAATCACGTGTTTCACCTCAGGATCGAGCTGTTAGACATCGCATTCCTGGGCTGGGCGGTAATAAGGGTCTCAGGTCAGAAGATGACGCTTTGTGTGTTTTTTTCGACAGTACCAGAGTTCTTTATCTGTACTGGTTCTTCTGTCGAGTGATCCGTGTTACGTGACTGTGAGGTTACGTAAATTCTTATATTTCACAACAACCTATTCCAGCTGTACTAGGTCACAAAAGCGGTAAATTTTGGTTGTATATTTCCTATCCCAAAAGATCACATAATCAAAGTCAAGATCTCGTGAAATTGTAAAATTTTCGATTAACAATCCTAATCACTCTAGACCCCAGGATGTGGTGCAGAATGTATAGTTGAATTTTTCGCATAGCCTTGCCTCGAAAAGGGTGAGAAGATGCTTTAGGAGGCGGGGGGCATGAGGCCTACTTATATGGTTGTGGAGAAATTCAACTGTAATTCCTTAATCTCCCCACGCGACTTGGACAATTATCCAAGATTCACTGATTGTCTTGAAATTTGCTTCCCGTGAATGTACTAATATCGAGAATATAATTGATTCTAAGGTAAGAAGTTGGTCATCCTAGGTCGCTTAATGCGATTTAAGTAGTGTTGAAAAAGTTTTTCCCCTGATGAAATGTATAGTCCCCACGAAACCGGTGACTTTTCCATAGCCATATCTCCCAAAAGATTTATCATTCCAGTTAAACGACACTTTCGACCTCACCTTGGTCTCATCAACAATTCCAACAGGATTTGAGTCTGGCTAATCCACGGGTAAACTACCCGGTCTCAAATCCCGTTGGGACTGCTGACTAAAACTGTATTCCGCTCTGGAGGAGAGATCCTTTTAGGTGTGGCCAGATGAAATTCAATAACGTCGCAGAGACTGCTTATTTCCTTTTGGGAAAAGCTTCAGAATTAGTGCCTAAATTCATTTTTAGCAAAAAAATTCGGCTAACTATTCAGATAAAGTAGGTTTTCGAGGATATCATTAAATGTTGCATAAGTTGATGAATGATTGTTAGACGAATCTTTGCATAATGGTATGAAAATGTATGAAAATTCATTTATCAGTCTATCCTCACCTCGGGTAACAAGGACTCTTGTGTAAGTCTCAATTCCAGACTCACATGGGGGCTCGAGTTTGCCTTATTACACACGCTGTTGACATCCTTAGCGAATGCCTCTTGAGGCAGTCGAATCAGCATCTCTCAGTCTACATGTAACCGAGTTTTCCGGCCCAGGCCAATTATGCTTCTTACTTTGCCCTCGATCAAAGACTATCAAGTGCCTAACGCAAACTTGATGACGATGGCGGAGTAGAAGTTTCTTGCTTACCAACTGACTGGTCACTAGCAGCGTATGGCTAAGAGTCTGGAGGCAAATCAATGGCAAAATGTATTGCCAAGCGGATGGCTGCACTGATTGGCGCTGCCAATGTAGCCTTTAGGTCCACTCAGGCGAAAACACCTGCAAGTCAAGCATAAACGTATAAAAATTCTAGTCAAATGCTCATCCCAAGCCAACTTCGCGTTGCCTAGTGCCGCACAGCTTGTGCCCCCTTACGAAGCGACAGACCCTCTCCATGCTTGCTCGTAGAAGCATTCGAGCGAGTCGGCATCCTCAGACTTCGAATTCGCCCGGTACCTCGGAGAGCTCTTGCATTTTTTGTGTAGGTTCCCCCTCCTCCCGTGCCCCGAGGAAGCCCATATCTCACCTGTGCTCCAATCTCTCCTGCCTAAATGCCCCTCAATCATGCCTTCCCAAAAAATCCTCCAATTCGCGGTCCTCCTCACCTGCGGCGTTTCGCTTGGCTTCTCCGTTCACCGCCACGTCTCTCCATTCCATCTCGTGTATCTCCTCCACCACTTCCCGCACCAACGCCGCCCTAAACTACTCTTCGGTGGCCACCACTCGGGGAAAATCGGGCCGACATTCCTCGACCATCTGTACTCCGCCCTCCTCTCCTCCGCCCCCCGGACCATGGACTTCCACATCGGTTCTGGAGGATCTGCGCTACCAATCAACCAACCCGGTGACACCGATTCTGCCCACCCGACAACCAGCCGCATCAACCACTCCTCTGCCTTTTCTTGATGTTTCACCCACCCTCCATTCTTCACAATCACATCCCACTCACTCGGTCTTTCGACTCTCTGATAAACCAAAACTCACCAACCAACGCCACTCGTACTCCTCCGTGAAAACTGAATATCACACGACGGAAACTCCGCTTCTGGAACCGCTTCATCCTTTGCCCGCATTGAGAACCCCCCCTGTCCGCAAGGTTACTTCCAACACGACACTTTCCAGCATTTTTATGCCTACATCTGACTCTCTCTTCCTAAACACAAACACACAAATTGTCACAAACTGCGACACTGCAAACGTTGACACTACAAACTCTATAACATTCGCTACATTTAATCTCGATGCCACACCAAAAACCTCCCTGAACTCGTTCGCTTGTGAATCCATTCCCCAAAGGCCAGCTGCCGTGTTTAAAACCGTTTCGACCCAAATTTCCAACAAACACAAAACATTAACCTACCGCTTTGATCATCCATATACACTTTCTCCATATGCTTCCACCTCCTCCATAATTGATACCGATCCCTCCCACTCTAAGCTTAGCACGTGTGAATCACAATGCCTTTCAACCAATACGCATTTACACCCACCAACTTCTGTTTCACCCACATCCTACTCGCCTGTCTCCGACATGAATACTAACAACGAAAATAATGAAATCGCCATGTTGCTAAACTCCCTATTCCCAACATCTACCTTGAATCCATCTACATGCAACTCTTCTGCCTCTTCCTACTCTTCTTCCTTCTACGCCTCCGGATTATCTCCACAACAT